GAGAGAGAGAGAGAGAGAGAGAGAGAGAGAGAGAGAGAGAGAGAGAGACCTTGATGGTGGACCTTCGACGGCGAGATGGCCATGGTGGAGCTTCGACAGCAAGACGGAGGCAGGGCAGACCCCCACGGCAACCTCCACGGCAAGACGGCAATGGCACTGCTCCGGGCAGGGACTTCGACGACTGCCCTGCTACTCTTCGACGTTCGAAAAATCACGTCCTCCAGTTGTTCGAAATTCGCATCCTCCCGCCAGCGGGGCTGCTACTACCATTGTACTATGCTCCCGTGAGTTTCAAAATTTCACTCAGAGGCCCTTTCAGGGTCTGTCTGGTTGGGGTACCCGATCTCGAAAAACATCACCAGCAATTTTCTGGGGTACCCCAGGCCCAGGTGAACGGCCTGGGAACCTGAATTTTCTTTTTGAATTTTTTGAGTTTGGGGTCCAACCGGACACCGGACACCGGACACCGGACACCGGACCCGGACACCGGACACCGGACCCAGACACCGGACACCGGACTGTCTGGATCGGGATCCGGACGTCCGGTTGGTAACCATGATATTGTCTCCCACTGTACACCTGAGCGGAAGTTCCAGGGGAGGGGATCCACCCAAAGAAGGGGGTTTGGAGTCCTTGCGAGCCCTGAATCTGCAACTCTGAACATTGTCTTTTGCCTTGGGCACTGGGCCCTACTAAAAAAATAAAAGGGGAAAAAAAAAGAAAGAAAAAAAAGAAAGTTCTATTGCCAAGCACCAAGGAGCTTAGCTCAGTTGCAATGAATTGCAGTGGCATAGGAGCTGTACACTAACCTTGTTTGATGTTGCCTGGTTTTGAGTCGTTTGGGATTTGATCCCACAACCTGTTTGTCTGCTTGTTTGCTTGTTGGCTGGGTTTGCCTGTTTATTTTGAGCCTTGTTGGACTCGATCCCTAGACCTGTCAGCAGCAGTCTCTGTTGGCTGGTCATAGACCCTTCSGGCTGTTTTGGGTTGTTTCAGTAGGAGGAACGTAGGCCTCTCCCCTCTGGTGCTGTTTTCTGTCTAGATACAGTCCTAGGCTGTAGATGCAAAACTAAGCTGTAGGCTGTCCGGTCTGGGAGGCTGGAGATGAACAAAAGTACTGAGGGCAAAGTTTTAGGGGTTCTGTTCGTCATTTTTTTTCACGAAGTGCTGCTGGAGGTCGCTGCTGAAGCTGCGTTAATTCCAAGTGCTGCTCCTCCTTCCTCGTGGAAGGGAAGCTGACAGCCATAGCTGGGTTTACCTGGCTTGTGTGGAATTGGCCCCGGGGCCTCAGGCCCTGCTTTGTGAGATGCTTCCTCCACCGCTGTTCTGTTGGGGTTTTGACAGCTGCCATCGAAGCAGCTTTTCCATGCCTGCTTCGAAGTGGCAGGTCACCATCTTCATCGAGCTGTTGTGCTTCTTCTTCGTCTAGGGAGCTTCCCTCCTTTGCTGATCGGACACGTCATCTGCAGTGGGCATCGCGGTTGAACTGCTGAGTGACTGTTTGGGGATACAAGGGTTGGTGGCGATTAGTGGGCTTGATAGGTTGGGTGCAGGCCTGCGCCATAGCTGTGAGCTCGAAGGTGTGGGAGGAAGAAGAAGTCTCCCTCGATGAAACTCTGTAAATAATTTGTTCATAKATGTTGTTAACGTGGTTGGGATTCTTGGAGTTGTGCTGTTGATTGAACTGGGAGAGACGGTAAATTAGAATTGATTTCGTTTCAATTCTATTTTTGGTGTTTGTGTGCTTCCGCTGTGCAATTTCATCATCCGGTTTGGTGTGGATTTTCTCTCTCCAAGTCTACTTGCAATTTCGCATGTGTATGGGAACATGTGTATGCTATGCTGGATTCGTTTTCAATCAGGCACATAACACAGTTGTTCCTGAGTTTTGCCTTAAAGTTTATATGAGTTTCTCTTTTATAGGTATCTTCCTTTCTGAGCTCCTTTATCTCCTCCTGGTTTCTGGTTTTCAGTTTACAGGAGAAATTGAGCAACCGGATTTTAGAGGGAAAAAAAAAAAGAAGGTAGGATGACTGGTTTCATAGTTTTCTATGGCTTATTGGGTAGGCCTGGGTACTTTAGCTAGTCTTTATCTATAGTAGACATAACAAAGAATCTATGAATCCAATAAATTAATCTCTCTCTAGATCTAATCAATCTAAGTTGTTTCAGCTTGATCTGTGAATGTTTTTGTTGATTTAAGTATTTCTATAAATTCCAATTTATTACTAGATAGATATAGTCAAAAACTTACTGCCCGCTGATAACCTTAAAGCACCAGCACATGCGCACCTGGGCCGCGGGCCTGAACCCTCGAAAATTAATCTGGAAGAGCGAATCCGATTTATCAATGGCAGGCCCAGCGTTTGACGTTTTGGCCTTGTTTTCTTGTGGTGACGAGTTTCAGACTGCAAGGCTGGGGCAGTGGTTTAAACCACCAGTACATCCAGCTATCGGCTGCAGGCCCTTTTCGGAGGCCGCCCGCGGCCGATTCAATTTATCTACGGCGCCGGGCCTCCAAAATTTTCATAGGCAACGAGGTTATGTTTCTCGGCTCATCTTAATCCTTGTCTTTCTTTTTTCATGCTTGCCGGTGATAAGCAACGGGACTGGTTGCCTCCAGAATATAAAGGGGTTGTGTTTTTTTTTCTTTTTTAAAAGAAAGAAATACAGACCCAAGTTCGAATCCAGAGATGAACGACTGTAAAATAATTCTGAATTACCTGGGGGCAGT